CGCAGCACCTCCGCGGGCAAGCTGGGAAGCGTAGTGTCAATTGCTAGCAAGACAGGATGAATGAACCCAATGGTTTCCAGAGTGGGTGGGGGGGTGAGGCGGCTCTTCGTCCCCCTTAAAGATGAGAACCATTGGTGCGTCTCTCTTCGCCCCAGAAAGACCGTTCTGCATTTTGTTGCCTAAGGCAAACGGCAAAATTCTCATCCCACTGAGGGTTGGGGAGGGGCGGGGGTTGTTTGAAGATTAAACCACGGTTGCTTAACTGTTACTTGCTGAATCAAAGTTGACTGAGTTAAAAGAACAAAACACTTAAACCAGTGAAGTTTAGCCCTGCCAATTTCCTTTACGCTGACCATCACATAATCATCAAAAAAGTAAACATTTTAATATGGCTCATGGGGGAAAATATTAAATGTGTTTTTTAAGCTATTATGCTCGCTCTCAAATACAGTCTTAAGCACATTTAATTCCGCTAGATCTACCAACGAGATAATATTGCATCATTCTCCCTCAGTACACAGGTAGATCAATATCTTTAAGCACCTAGGATTGGGCAAAAGGGAAACATGATCTTTTTATCCTCCTGCCCTCCGTTCAGCAAGCACAGGCTTAAAATCAAATATTGTCAAGCCTTTTGAGTATTTCTTCCGGAGCAGCTTTTGAAGTAATGCTTCCCTAATGAATGCTAATGGCAAGTTAACAAGGTTGGTTTAAATTTGTAGATTCGTGTTGTGAATACAACTTTCCCTGTTGCCTGAAATTAATAAGACCTTAATTAGCTACAGGTTGAAGTCTTTTGTTTCTAATAAAAGAATATTTGTAGTTCAGGGTTGAACTATGGAGTTCCTTGCTAGTCTCTTAAATTTGGTTGTCGTCTTTCAGACATTTCATTACCCATCTAGGTAACGATCAGTACTAGAAGGGAGTGAGGCTTCCCTGTTTACATACAAGACTTTTGCCTACTAATTGGCTCCAGCACATTTCTGCAATTAAAAAACCGATGCTGGAAAAAGGAATTTCATGCACATGTAGGTCTAAATACTTTATTTTCACTAATTTCCCCCAATTTTTCCCCAATTTTGCTGGGGATGCCGAGAAAGTTAAACAATCAGTGTGTTTCCCCACCACCCACCCATTTGTCCAATTTTCCACGTCCCTTCTTCATGTATCTGATAACCTTATTATACCTCAGTGGTCATGTAGACGTTAGAAACCATCAAAATGTAATACCTGTACATAAAGGCAGATCATATCAAACATCTGTTCAACTATCAGAACTGTATCGCTCTTGTTGTAAAAGTCAGTACATATTATATTCCATATTCCATATTGCCATTCCACTACATCCTAAACTTGCATCTTGAGGCAGCTGTCTCATAATGCCTATTGGTAATTTAATATTGTTCTTACATTGCATTTGCACTGAAAACAAATTCTTTCATACCTTCATATTTCAATTGCAACTCTATTTTGGGTGTCTCTTCTGAATCCAAGACTGGAATGATAGCTATCTGATCATGAGGCCTTCTTAGAAATGGAGTCCTTCACAAATAACTTCCTATTTCCCTGCTCCCCCAGTGGCTGTAAAATTCTGGTATTATTATGAAGGACTTATCCAGGAAGCTTGCTTTGTGATACTAATATTTCATGCCACAATTCTATATTAAAAATTATAGTTGAATTCAAAGAAAATTATTTTGAGAAAATGTGAAACATCTTTTATTTGCTGATCTGTGTTTCTTTTGCTATAGATCAGGATGTGACATGTTGTCATGGTGTCATCACATGACATATTACGACTTTTTTCTCCTTTGCTAAACTGGGCATGGGCATGGCCAGCCTGTAACTCATCCAGCCCACGGGCCACGAGTTTAACACCCCTGCTACAGATCCTTTCTTACAATTACAAATCACTCCTTCCTACTTCAGCTCTCCTGAAAATATCTCTTACACTACAGTGACATTTTAAAAACACTCTAGAAGATGTCAGCAGCAAACCACTTCCACACGGCCATATGAACATATCTGTTAAGACACCAGCAGCAGCTTGAATTGGAGAAGATGTTACATTTTCTCTAGACAGTTCAGTGTTAAACTATTTTATTTACAGAAGAAAAACTTAATGTAAATAGTCACGTGGACTGAGAATTCTGGCATCTAATTAAAGTCCAGGATGGGGAAGGCATATACCTGCTGAAGGACATGTAAACAATGCCTTACCTCAGCAGAAAGCAGCATCTGGCTGATTTTATGTGGCCTTAGAAACTAATTGGGGTCAGGCCTGATTAGTATTTGGATCATCAGGAAAAACTGGACTAGGGAGAAAGAACTCTCAGAAGAAGAAAGCAATAAATCATTTATGTACTGTTGCCAAGAAAATGGCATGTCCATAAAGCCACCAGGCATTACTTAAAAGCAATGTTACCCTTAAAGAAAGTAATATGCATTTAAAGCAACCATATTATGACACCATCACCTAAGTAATATCCAAGGGGGAAAAAACCCACCAATCTCTAGCAATACTGGGAGAAGTGGTGCCTCCATTCTACAATACCATATTTCCATTGCATTGGTCACAATGCTGCAATTCTCTGGCTGAATGACTCAGTTCTGCCTTGTGTTAAATAGATAGATAGGATTGCCAGCAACAATAAATGGAAGATGTCAAAATCTAAAAGATGGTAATGCAAAATGTTTTGAAGAATACAGGTCAGTGGTGGTATTCTATCAGTTTGGACCGGTTCTGGCATACCGGTAGCGCCGAAGATCACCGAGACCAAACTGGTTCTCTCTGAGCTGCTGTTGGGCCCACCCGCCACCTGGGCTCCCATACTGACCTTTATTCCCTGCTTTTGAAGCGCAGCTGCTTGCACGGCACAGCACAGCACATTTCTGCGCGTCAGCTGCTGAAGCAACAGGGAGAGTGCAGGAAATGGGTCGGAAAGCCTCTGTATGTGCGCAAAGTGCACATTTTGCATGTGTGCGTGTGCAAATGTGTGCACAAAGCGCACCCACCAAGCCATGCCGACTGAACTGGTGGTAAATTATTTTGAAACGCACCACTGATGCAGGTAGTCCTCGACTTACATTGTTTAGCAATCATTCAAAGTTACAACACTGAAAAAGTTATTTATGACTATTTTTCATACTACTGCTATAGCATCTCCAAGATCATGAAAATTTGGTACTTGGCAACTGGCATTTATGTGATAACCATTTGTAACCTTCCCAGCTGGCTTCTGACAAGCAAAGTCCATGGGGGAAGCCAGATTCACCTAAAAACAGTACGATTCGTAGTCACGAACCAGTAGTAACTCCAGTTGAATTCCACCCCTGTTCTGGAGGCATGTTGCTCCACTGATTAATTGTTGTCATTGTCAGGAAATTTCTCCTTAGTTCTAGGTTGCTTCTCTCCTTGATTAGTTTCCATCCATTGCTTCTTGTCCCGCCTTCAGATGCTTTAGAGAATAGTTTGACTCTCTCTTTATGGTACTATTTCTCCATCCCTATAGACATCCTGTTACCCTCTTTTTATTGTTTTAGCCTACTATAGATGATTTCTGATTTATTCTAAATTATAAAACAGGTTGTCTCCATATCTTTCCTCACTGTGCTAAAGATTTTTTTGGTCTATGTTTACATATTATTGTAGTATTGTTCTTTTATTCTGGGCTTCTGTTAGGATACAAAAATGACACTGTGGGGAGATGTGCTGAGCAAGACACTTTTTGGAAGCTCATCCAAAATACTGGATATGCCACTTCCCAACTTATTTCTCCTCTCCTCTCCTCCCATCTAGTAATGCCTCTCTCTTTTCCTTCTACACCAATTTCTGAATGTTATCCTTCCATTCTTATATCTGACAGCACTGGAATATTAAGTCTGTATTTTGGCAAATAAATATGAAACCAGCCAACCATCTCAGCACATTTTTAAGGAACAAAATATTAGCGATTTGGAACTTGGAGGACTTTTTCATTGTGGGTCCTAGGATGTTCACCTATGGTCCAACAGGTCACAAAACAGACTTACGTTAAAGTATGTTACCTACATTGATTTTCAGGTTTTGTCTAAGTTTTCCCAAACTAATTTGGAGATGCTAAGAATGGCTCTTGCAGATGCCTATCATTTCTATATTTTACAATTGCACCAAGTCTTTCCTCAAATGTAGAAACACAAGTCAAGAAATTGACTTACTTACCAGGATAGGAGGGCTTTAAACCTCCAAATACATTTTTGTTTATGTTAGAGCCTCCAGCCAAAACCAGTTATAGAATTATCTACTTGGAATTAAGAACAGTTAGATCTGAACACAAGCATGTGTTATTGCTTTGTATTATCATTGACTTGAGCTCACATAAAATTAGTTTCTAAGGACCCAATTATTAAGTGCCCCCCCCCCATTCCAACAGGAGAATTTGGATGGAAAATATCCCTTGTTGATTTCACACATTAACCACTGTGTTAAATGGTTCAGTAAATCATAGTTGATCTAGTTTACATACAATTACCTCAAATTAGCCATTACCATTTTAGTCTAGCTTGTTCTAATTTATACGGTTAATATACAGTATATGCCTGTGTGTTATGTATACCAAAAATTGGATTCCGCAAACTACTGTTAATTTTATCATGAATTAGTATGTTACTATAATCATAATTTTCTATTACTGTCAAATAACTGGAAATCAGACAATTCGGCGGTATACTAGAACTAACCCAAAAACTTATTGACACAGCATTCTTTTCTTTCTGAAGTTGTCCGGAGTTTCAGGTAGGAATCATTCCCAGTTCTATCCGATGACACCCGAGATTGAACTGTTTTTCTATTTTCATACACCATGCCATGCAAAAACATAGGCTACGCTTCTGACAGAGGAAAGAAAGTAAAGTTTGTGCTGATAAACTATGAAAAGGGAACTAACTAATCGGAAAGAATCTACGCTAAGATCCATCATAACACACTCGGATAGCCTTCTCATCCGAACTACATTTCCCAATGTCCTTTGGTTGAACTTGAGATGTTCCCGGAAGTTGTTCCGAAAATTCGTCCCTATGTGATAGAGATCCGATGTCCTCTATTTGGTAAGCATTTCTGAGTTATTTTTTTCCCTCTGGATTAGACTTTTGGCTGTCTGATCACGTCCTCTTGTCCTTTCGCAAAAGATGCGCTCTGATATAGAAACTTTAGCTTATGCCGTTTAAATCGTGTAGTTGGGCACAACTGGTGTCTGATATTCTCCACGTGTTAGAATGCAGCTTCCACTCTTTTCATCCTAGTTGAATCTCCCATTCGATGGCACTTGTCGTCCAACACAGTTTACCACTCAGAGTCTCTGGGAGTAGGGCGGCATATAAATTAAATTATTAGTTAGCACCAAATTTGGTGGCTAAATTAGGGGTTATTCTATTACCACAATGATTAATAAATACTGACCGGAGTCAGATAAAATCAGTAAAATGAGAGTAATAAGTCCTAGCAGACATCTCGTTATTTCTGCCTTCCCTACTGTTTAAGCCAACTTATTACATTTTAAGACTAATTGCATAGGAATTTACAATATGTAGGTTATTATTGTAAACTGAATTTAAATATTTTAAGTATAACACCATTACAAGCCTATAATTCATATTATACCTGTTTGTGAATTTAATGGTTTAATTCTAAACCAATTCGTTGTGTTTCATTTCACAGCTCAAGACACAACTGTATTAGAGCCTGCTTTTTCCTGTATAAATTTATCCAACTTCCAAAACTGATGAACCTCCTGCTTTCCAGATAGTGCTCACTTATAAGATTTAGTTGATCCAGTCATTGTGACCACCAGTTAGCAAGATTTGGAATGACAATGAAATGGTTTCTCATTTCTGCCTTGAAATCTTTCACTGAGAATTTCAAATACTACTCTCCAAACTAAATGGATGCCACTAAAAGTCAGAATTTTTACATTTCCCAGAGATACTGTATGGAGATACTGTATCTTCCTGAAATACTTACCTAAAGATGCTTCTTTCTCTTTTCAGTGTTGGCTTAAAATCCTTTTTTTTAAAAATAATTAATGTCTATTTTAAAATACTAAAGTAGCATTTTAGCTTTTATTATTTGTTTATTCATATTTATAACATTAGTTTTTTTAATCACTTTAAAAGCCATATTGGAATAAAGATGCAAGAAGAGCCAGTTGTGCAGCTGGACTGTTAACAGTCCAGCTGCTTGTAATCCTCCCCTAGGCATGGCAACCAGCTGAATGACTTTGGGCCAGTCATCTCCTGTCAGCCTAATTATCAATGACAAGCTAGCTAAAAAATAAAACCCCATGTCACACCATGCATTGATAAGAACTAGGCAAGCGCAATGTAAAACAAGTGCATCCTGAAAATAACTGGGACAAATACTAACAGATAATCAGAGTTGGAGGGGACCTTGTAGGTCATCTAGTCCAACCCCCGCCCAAGCAGAAAACTACACCATTTCTGACAAATGGAAGTCCAATCTCTTCTTGAAAGTCTCAAGTAATGGTGTTCCCACAACTTCCAAGGGCAAGGTGTTCCATTGGTTGATTATTCTCACTGTCAGAAAGTTTGTCCTTATTTCCAGGTTAAATCTCTTCTTGTTCAGTTTCCATCCATTATTCCTTGTCTGGCCTACAGGCCCTTTAGAAAATAAATTGACCCCTTCCTCTCTGTGGCAGCCCCTCAAATATTGGAAGACCGCTATCATGTCTCCCCTGGTCCTTCTCTTTACTAGACTAGCCAAGCCCAGTTCCTGTAACCTTTCTTCATATGTTTTAGTCTCCAGACTAAGAACAAGCATGAATGTGTAGGTGGTGGGGGTGGGAATAAGTTAAAAAGCAATCAAGTTGTGTTAATTCTGCTTAGATTTGGGGCTTGTGAAAGATTAGAGACCTGAGCGCTCATTTAAAGCCACCCCATGGCAGCAATAGCTATTGCATTCAAGTAATATTTTGATAAAGAACAGATTTATTATTAATATCTTCTGCCTATTATTTTCTTTAACTTTTCTTCTATAGTTTGGTGTAGTAGTTAAGATACTGGCCTTGAAAAGGGAGAGAGTGTCCCACTTTAGCCCTGAAAGCCGATTTGGTGACCTTAGACTAGTCATTCTTTCTCAGCCCAAGTGGAACCACATAGGGTCTTTGTTGTGGGGAAATAGGAGGAGGAAGGAATACTGTATTAGCTATGTTCACCATCTTGAGTTATTTATAAACATAAAGGTAGAATAAAAATAAATAAATAGTTTTAATGCTTTTTAATAATTATTACGTAATGGTTTTAGATAATTGTTTTATATAGTTACTGTTTTACTGGATTCTAGTATGCATCACTTTTCATGAGATGAGCAGCTATATAAATTTATTAATAAATAAAAGTTAAATTTATAGGGTAGGCATATACATACTGCTATAGTAAATGAGAGACAATTTTTGACTGTTCATTACAAAAAGATTAAATAAAACTGTTTAAAATAAAGGGGGAAAACAGGTCCTGCATGGTTTATTTGACTTGGTTTCTCCTTATTTTTGCAATATCCTAATTCTACCTTGGAAATGTGTGACTTTCAAACAGTGTTTCTCAGCCATGGCAATTTCCAGATATATGGGCAAGACCCAAAATTCCACAATAGATATGGCCCTTGATGGTAATTCTGGGAACTGAAGTCCACATACCTGAACGTTGGTTTAGAGGACTATGACTAATGAAGTCATAGTCAATGACTGTGAATATGATGAAATTCCCATCTGTGGAATTAAAATAATGAATTCTCAGGCAATTTGTATTGTTAATTGCTCTCTAGCAATGCATGGAACAGCTGTTAAAATACTGGAGTAATTACCTTGTTATTGACTTAACATATTTAAGCTAATGAGCTGAATTTCAAACAGGAGTGAAGCCTGAATTGATTTGTCCAAGTTCCACTCTTTAACCAGCTACCATGGCCACAGCCTCAAGGAAGTCTATTTTGCATTTGGCAACTTTCATCAGGAAGCCTTTGCTAACTGGTAAGCATTGTGCATTCTCTGGGTATTGGAGACCAGAATACTGCTTCTTTGTGGCCAGGAGAGTAGTGACCTTACATTAGAAATCAGTAGCCCATTCCAATCTTTCTGAAAAAATGAACATTATGTCAGATATTGGCCATCTGCTAATCCTCCATGTGGTGGTCTTCTTTTGCTCAAGAGACCAGGATGTTGTCACCATAAAGCTATGTTATTTGGCTTGGGAGGGACAGAGAGACTTGACTTCAATGTAAAATTGATTAAGCCCTTTTCTATTCATTCAGTACTAATATTTAGTTTATACGAGAAGAAACAGTTCTATTTTTCTGATTTTTGCTTAGTTGTCAATGTCTTTACAGGTAATCCTTGACTTATGACCATTCATTTAACAACTGTTTGAAATTATGGCTGTACTAAAAGAAGTACAACCCATCCTCACACTTAGTGTCATCATAATCTCTCTGTGGTCACACCATCAACATTTGGGGCTGGCACATATTTACGAGCCTTTCAGTGTCCCATGGTTACATGATTACCATTTGCGACTCTCCCCTGGGATTCCCAAAGGTAAAATCCATAGGAGAAAGCCAAATTTGCTTAACAACTGCATAATTCCCTTAATGACCACAGGCTAAAAAAGATAAAATTGGGTATGATTCATTTAGCAACCACTTTACTTAGCAACAGAATTTCCAGTCTTGGTTGTGATTGTAAATTGAGGACTACCTACCGTATATTCATGGATAAGGAAATATAATGGAATTTGGGGTGATAAATCTAAATTCTCAAGACTACATCAGTTAAGAGGAACAAATAATGCAGCTTCAGTGGCGACTGTAGGTATGACATATGAGCAGAAAAAGAACCTTGTTGGTCTTCCTTTTTTAAAAAAATGTAGAACTCAGTACTAGTGAGTGCTATTGAATGGCATATACTTGGATTCCCAATGTATGTAGTCTTGCCTTAAACGTCCATGAACATTAATATCCCTTCCCTACTTCACCCTTTTCTGTATGTTCTAAATCAGCCCTCCTCAGCTTGAGGTTCCCAGTTCCCATTATTCCAAGGTACCAAAGCTGAGGATATAAGAATTCCAATCCAAAATACTGGAGAAAAGCAAGTTGGATAAAATATAGAAGTCCTTTATCTTTTTCTTTCAAAGTTACACTTTGATTTACAGGTTTTGAACAGTGAAACAACTGGATTTATGCCAGAATTAAAATCCCTAAACTTATCATCAACCCCTAGATTAGCACCACAAGGTATAACCTTGGTGTTATTTTCATTCCCACAATGTTTAGAGACTGACAGTCCAGTGTGTATTCTGTTATTAATACTATTTTGCTCCTGTATTTGTAGATGCAGCCGTATTTCGTGCCTGTCCCAAATCTACCTATTCACCACTTCCTGATGACTATAACTGGCAAGTATTAACTATTCCACATGTTATCACTATTAATTTACAAAGACTGTTAAATTTGTACTGAATGGGCTGGTAACTGAATTTCATACAGTGTGCCACCACAATATCCCCAGTACACTGCAACTCCCTTGTCTTATATGTGGGTTGAAGACAGATGCAAAAACTGGTGTGTGCCTTTGTTTTAAACTAACCAGCCTGATACATTGATTAGGTTTTATTAATTAATATATATTATTTTAATTTCTAAACAGATAATAGCAGTTTTTTCATAAAGATTATTTAAACTGTGAAATAACTATCACTAGGACAGCAAATCCTGCAGAAGAATTATTTCCAATATGTGGAAGAGTATACAAAGCACTTGTGTTTTTTTTGATTCTGTAAACTGCTTCCAGTTGTTTCTGCATTTATATTGTTCTTTAATTATGAAGAGAGGTGCTATATGCAGGGTTTCTAAAAGTTGTTTCACAAAAGAATTGTCTAGCCTTTCTGCAAGTTTATATATTAGGGGCAAAATAATAAGCAGGCCCGATAGAGCCAGTATGGTCCAGTTTGTAAGTTAGCATATTATTATCATATCTCCTGAACTGAAATATATATTGTTCTGAGACAACTCAGAATTCTAGGAAATTTGACTAGAAAACTGACACGAGTGCCAAAAAATCTTGAATAATCTTTCAAATGTTTTATACATGTTTGATGTCCTTTTTAGCTGTATTACTATAGAAGTACCAAATAGTTACTTTCATTAATAGTTTTCAACAGAAATATTGAATCATCTTCTTGTTCTTTGCGTTATTTTCATCATACTGCGGGGTACACAATTTTGCATTTCACCCACCACTTTGCCGGTATGCAGCATTGGCGGGGCATACGCCCACGGCTATCATGTCTTCATGCAGGCAGTTCATCCATCCCACCCACATTGAATGTGGGTGTTTAAAATTTTCTTGTGTTTAGATTACAAATACCACCTTCAGCTCCTATGCATTGCATGTTTGCTTGTTTGTTTTTTTATGTTTATTAAAATACTTTGTTATTAAATATATTTTGGCAACGTTTAATCTTGTTACTGTTTTTTCGTTAAATATTTTATAACTTATTCAAAATAATTATGTTTAGTATATTTTTTTGTAAGTTTTAATTAAAGCACTATCTCCAATGCCATCTTTTTAAAATGGCAGGAATGTTGATGTCTATTTCATTTTCTAGCAAAGTTGAACTTGCTATGACATCAGATGGAAAGACAATTGTTTGCTATCACCCTTCAGTGGACATCCCATATGAGCACACCAAAGTAAGTTACTGAAAATTGTTATTAGTCCTAGGTAATCTTCATATATATGGTGCTGGGTGTTTATCCCATGAATGTGATTTACAAGGTAAGATCATAAAAGGTAAATATGGGAGGTAGCAAAATTACATTAATTACCTCAGATACTTTGAGCTACTTTCAAATAGATGATATAGATTCAGGTCATATAGTGCGAAAATGGTGTCCTGATAATCTCAGTACTATTAAAAGAAGTACAATATTGGCTTTAATCTTAAATATTGTTCAGGATCATTTTAAAAGGTATAAATGCTTTCATTGAGTATGGATTATCTTGAGTACAGTTATAAATGATAAGCTGTAGAGGGACTTGGCTCCCTCTCTAAAGTTTTGAGTCAGTGATTCTAATATCGATTGGAGTAACATTTAGAGAATAATACTTTTATTTCACACACAATTATATGAATTCAGTGCCACAAAATATGTAATTATTGACTCTTGTAGATTAAAGGGAGTAGGCAGAGAGGATAAACAAGTCTTCCAAATTTAAAAGGGAGCATATTGCTGGATATATGTGGTTAGGAAGGAAACAGTAAGAAAGTCAGCACGGTCTGTATGCTTTGCAGGTAAACTTCCAGGAGAAATACGGCTGCCCATTGTTGGAAATAGGATGCTAGGCTAACTATACACATTAAGAAAAGCCTTGTAAAAAGCCTTTGTAATAAGGTCTTATTAGAAAGGCTTTTTATAAAACTTTCCCTGGTGTATATTAGTATTAAGAGTTCTGCTGTCTTGTATTCCTAGCACCTCTTAGCTTTACTATGGTCAAATAGTACCAGCACATTTGGATGTGTAGTGTTAGCAAATGGAATCTCTTTGGAGAAATAGACTTTTGTTGTATTTCTTAATTTGGATGACATATACTTTGACAGCCCATTCCACAACTAGACCCAGTGACCTATAAAGAAGAAACACACGATCAAGTCCTGAAATCTAAATTAGATGAAAAGGAAGTCTACGAGAATGAGCCTACATTTGAGACACTTAGTAAAATGTTTTACACAACCAAACATCGCTGGTATCCTGTAGGACAGTAAGTATATCTGAAGGTATCAATTGTAAAATTAAAATGGAATGGAATTACAATACTTCAAGTTCTTTCCTGGTGCATAACTCAGTTGAATATGTGTCACAGGTTTGGTCTGCATTTATTGACTGATTAGGGTTCAAGGATTCAACCCTTAGGTTCATACATTCTCTGGAAATAATAGAGAAGTGGTGCTTGGAATTTGCAAGAGCAGAGCATTTCTGTTACTCATTAAGATAGCCAGTTTTTTTATTTATTTTTTTCTGTGTAAGCCTGAAACACCCACAGCATTCATACACTCATAGTTCCTCACATTTCTATCCTTCTGATTACCCTATAGGTAGATTAAGGAGGTTGGATGAGTTTCCACAGCTGAGAGTAAATCTGAACTATTTCTATGGTCTTAGACCAGTACCTTAACCACTGCACCAAAACTGAAAATAACTGCATATGCATCTTGGGTGAAAATATCTAAATGCTGGAAAAATTTGGGAACATGTTATGCTGAGTAGACACTGATATCAGCAGTACTTCTAACATTTAGATTCAAGAGTTAATTAACTATTTTTAGAAGTTAAACCATATCAATTGTTCTTTCTTCTAACTCGAAGGATTTTTTTTAAGGTACAAAATTATTTGACTTTACTAAAGCAGTTTTTTTAAATTCAGAAAATCTGGCTATTGTTCTGCATTTTCTAAAATGTAGGAGTACTGTGTTGTGCAAATACTTTGCTTTTTATTTATTTTTTTCATATCTTGGAACTCTTAGGAATGTAATAACCTCATAGAACAGGGGTCGCCAACCATTTGGACCTCAGGGACCACCAAACTCACAATTTTAGATCCCAGGGACCACTAACCGGTTTTGTGGGTATGGCTTGGTGGTCATGTGACTGGCTGGGCATGGCTTATACGTAAATATTATAAATATTTATATAAATATTGATTTTTTTTATAAAAAAGAGCAACTTTTACCCAAAATCAGGCAAAGCAGGCAGGCAGATGGAGTTGCTCACAGAATCACAGATTCATTCATTCACTAGTGGGCAACCGCTGTCATAGAAAATGTGCAGTTCTTCTTTTCTTCCTAAGAGTTCGCTTGCCTAGGAATGGCTTCACTAGCAAATTTTGTGAGAAATATATTCTGGAGTATGTTTAGTTTTACATCTCTATTTTTCAAGACCGAAACTAAGAACAAATATTTTTGTTTTATTGCTTAGTGGACCATTTTACTCCATAAACCACTTGGCCAATAAATACCTTTCAGTGAAATTGCTTCCCGGTGGAAGTAGTGAAAAAGTATCATGATTGTGGCCTGTACCTCTTTGGGAAGTTGATATGCCTTTAGCCCAGTTGATGTGCACATGAGATGCATTCTAAATGTTTTGGTGTCAATCATCTGCTCTTAAAGGAATATACAGTTTTGGAGGAGAGAGAGTTTGAGGAAGTTTCAGGTGTGTCATTGATTTCTATTATGGTCAAGAAAGCTCAAGAAGGTACTGAATTGGATGTACTCATATTGTACTTTTATGCTTAGAATGAGCAAGGTTCCTGTCAAGCCCTCAGAATTAAGAAAGACATGGTAATTCATCAAGCGGATTTCTTTATTTTTCGCTACCTCTAGACAGAATCTTGCCAAACTAAAGCACTGTACTATACAAGCCTATACTTGGGAACTATTAGGGAGGGGCTCTCTTCACTCTCTTTCTCTCACACAAATTATCTGAACTGAGTTGTCTCTTACTCCTCTGGAATGCATACTCTTCCTTATAGGAAAGACTGGATAGGTAAAATCCACCACAATTCCTTTTGAATTTGGTCCCAGACTCCCAGTTTTTTTTTAAAGAAATAATTCAGTATTGACATGGAATTCTAACTTTAGCAACATAACCAGAAGGACAGGTAACAGATTTCCAGAAAATCTTGTTTCTTTTTTCCCACCAGACATTTCAGTGAAAGTGGGAATAGTGCTGGGTATGCTTTGGTAAACTCCTATGAATATTCCAAGCAGGGTTCAGATTTTAAAAACATTTGGAATCCTTCTACAACTTACTTTTGCCCTTCAGCCAAACAATAGAAGATTTGTTACAATTACAGAAAAATTGTTTAATTTGCAGAACTGCAGAAAAATTGTTTAATTATAGGATTAATATGTCTTAACAGTTTTCCTTTATAAAGATAACATTTTCAAATGTAACTATTAATAACACTCCTAGTCTCTTTAAAAACAAGTCCTGAAATTATTTGGTGTCTGAGGCACTAGCTTAATATAATCTTTTGGATTTTTTTTCATTTAGGTATCACACTAGACGCAAGAAAACCAATACTCCCAAAGACCGATGAAATTACATTTTGTCTTTATCATCATGGAAAACAACTTTCTGTAGATGGAGTATTCATTTCTAACTAAATCCTTATCAATTTCTCCAGATAATTTGTAAAATCTAAGGATATGCAAAATAGAAGTTTCATTCCCAAATATTGCTAACTAAGTTGAACTGGTATATGTGAACCACCAGAGGGCACTACTATACAAGAATTCAGTTTTACTATACTTTTTTGGGAAGGGGGAGATCTGTGGGTGCGGGCATGTGGAAGAATATGTTAACAATTTGCAGCCAAAACCAGAAATAAAAACCAAATAATAAACTTTATAAAAAAGTACCTTTTTACCCAATTGAAAATTATTTTGTATCTCTATAAAAATAATGACCAGATTTTCTATTCCAAAAACTTCAGTAAGATTGTCAGAATCAGAATGACGGAAAAACAAATATTGAGTATAATTTTAGTCTGCTATGAGCATAGGATTTTGTTCATTGTAAAATCTAATACAAATTAAAAAAATAGAAAGTAGAAGTGCAGAAAAGAAAGAAAAGGGGAAAATACAAAAATAAAAAATAAATAAAATGACATCACAAGTGTAAACAATTTGCAAACTTATTATCCCTTAAAATACAAATGATCTCTTTCTATATCCCAATCCTTATTTACATACAAATCTATAAAGCACTATCATTACACTCTTGGTATTAGCAAAAGTCCATTTTTGTCCCTTCAAAAGAGATTCTTCAAAACTTTTAACAACTCTCTCTTGTAAATTTAATATAGGAAAATTACCTATATTGGTTTATTGTTTCTATTTTGGTTTATTGTTTTATATCCTTTTAATAACTATTATACAGCTGGTTTCTTTTATGTCTAATGTAATATCTTTTAAAATGTTGTTCTTGTACCCCATCATTTATAAATCCACTTTCAACTCTGTCAGGCAGAACTTGTTCCTCTTTCATAACATGTTTTAGGTTCAGTCTCTCCACAGAGGCAGATGTCTCTGTTGACAGTATTAACATCAGAATCCTTTTTTCAAAAAATACCTTCAATATGTCCAATGTTAGAATATTTTGTTCCATTCTGTAATTCTATAGTCAAGTTCATGTTTTCTTGTCTTCATTATAATAGCAATAGCACATAAACGTACTGTATACACCACTTCACAGTGTTTTACAACCCTCACTAAGCAGTTTATAGAGTCAGCATATTGTCCCAAACAATCTGCATTTTACCCACCTTGGAAGGATGGAAGGCTGAGTTAACCTTTAGCCTGGTGAGATTCAATCTGCCAAATTGCAGGCAGCCAGCAGGCAGCAGAAGTAGCCTGCAGTACTGCATTCTAACCACTGTGCCACCTTAGCTCTTTGAGTTCCCTTGTGTCCAATTTTTAAAATCTTAACTCTATTTTTTAAAAAATTAGGCATTTTTCTGCAGAAAGACTTCTTTATAATTCCAAAGTCTTATTTCAAATTCATCTGGATCTTTAGTCCATTTGTAACTTTCTAAAATCAAATTTTAATCATTTTCCTGCTTATTTTTTTTAAAATTTTTTTTAAAGTTCTCAAATTAGTAGTTAAAACTTTCTTTTGCTAAGGATTGAAGGGAAACTCACTGCATGCTGTCAAAATCATTAATATAAAGATTTCTAATAGTTGAAAATGTATTTGAGCCTAACTGTAGCTTATTCCATAATTAATAAAACTATGGATAAATGAGATAAACCCAATCTAAAAGTCAGGTGAAAGAATTAAAAATACTACATTAGAAGCATAGGAAACAATGGTATTAGCTTTGTAGTTTTTAACAAGAATTGGATAAATGTATTTTGGAAAGGAAAAAGAGAAAGCGTTATATTGCTTTTATATGGAACTGGCCTGCAAACTGTTTTAGTGATTGTAAAACCACAGAAGCTTGAGATCAGCTATGCAGATTTATTTGGGAGGAATTAGGATGTTTAGCTCATGTTTATTTCTAAGCTCAGCATAGTGTCAGCATACTATGAAAATGTGAAATGCCCCAAAAGCTGCTCCTTAAATGTACAGGTAACCACAATTGAGCCCAAAATTTCCATTGCTAAACAAGACATTTATTAAGTAAATCTGGCTTCCCCATTGACTTTGTTTGTCAAAAGATCACATAACCCTGGGACATTGCAACCATCATAAATGTGAACTAGTTGCCAAGCATCCAGTTTTGATCACTGACCATAAGGATGGTGCAACAGTCATAAGTGTGAAAAATGGTCACTTTTTTCAGAGCAGTTGTAATTTTGAACAGTCACTAAACAAACTGCTGTAAATTGAGGGCTACTTGTACAGAAAATTGCAAGAGAGATGTTCGTCCTTCAAACAACTCATGAACTCCAGTGGCCTTGCAAGCATTTCTCATGTCTGTAGGGAAGAAGTGCCAGAAATCTGGTGGCAGGAGAAATCACAAAACTAGTTCTGAGAAAGAAATTGTCTGACTTTCAAACACAATTCAGGATCTCTGGACTACTTATCCAAACATCTGCTCCATTAAATTTGCTGCAGCTTGCTTTGGGGTAGACATCTATTTTCATATGAAAGAAGGCTGTGCACAACTCTGGATCCCACTCCCAATTTCAACTGTTCCCGCTTTGATTGTGAATGTGATACTATACCAGGACTGAACAAGCTTCTTGGGAAAGCAAAAAAAAAAAAATCCCAAGAAAGTCCAGTTGCCTTCTGAAAAGCACCTTTGGGATAACCATGATCTGGATGACTAAGAATCTCCATAGACATTTACTATACCAGGAATATCCAAAGAGTACAAGGAGCATTCTGATTAAAATGCCTCAGCTAGCAGTAATTTTATCTATAACATGAGTTCAAAGTTGACTTTTCCAGAGCAGTTTTTATATTTCTAAACCAAAAATTGGCTTGCAGCAATCAATTTTTACTTTCCAGTCAAGCTCATGAGCTGATTTTGGGCTCGGATATTCTTGAAAGTAAAGGTGATGATAGTGATTGGGGATGAACTTTGCAGTATGTCACATCCACTTTTTAGAAAAATTAAAAATATAGAAAGTTCATGCAGAGAGTCATGTTGTAAATTCCAGAATTAAATCATGGTTCACAAACCACATATGGTGGTGCTTAAAAGATTGTAAATCCTTTTGAATTTTCAAGATTTCTGTATAAATACTACCTAACACATGATCTGTTCTTTACATGAGTCCCAATTACAGTAAGCAAATGCTTCAAAATCATTATAATAGTTCATTTATGAGAACAGGTCATTTTAGATCATATTCAAAAAGGCTCACAAACGGTTAAACTAATGTGCTTAGTCAAAACTGAATTACTGACATGATCATACAGAATCATGTGAAAAGAAGCTCTGATTATAAGCGTGACTGAGCAAGAAGAGGGTGAGAAAAGAGTAAAGTACCTTTCAATCCAACATCTGTTTTTCATTAAGCAAAAATATAGGGAGACAGTTATGTAACTTCTTACTTGACTGTCTCTTAACTCCTGATTTGATACCATGGTCTCGAAGTAGCTTATACACTAAACAACTTGTCAAAACACAAGAGATGATCCTTGCATAACACCTGTGCCAACAGGGAAACGAGAGCAAAGCCAGAAAAACAAAATGCTAAAGTCATGGATGCAGAACATCCATCACCCACAAGAAATACATTTTGCTAACCTCTTTCTGTCCAAAAGCTATTTGCACTCTCTTATACTAACACAGGAAGACGCTTTTGAATAATCTGATTTTGTGAGCCACAAAAAAAAAAAAACCCTGTGGAAAAAACCCTAACTCTTTAGTACAGGTTTTCCTGGAAAATACGAGAAATCTAAACCCATGCAGCTGGAGTTATTAAAAACATACTTCAATGGCAGAGAGTGTAATTGAATGCAACAGAGATGCCAAGAGTAGCCCCTGATGAGAGATGAGAAAGAATCCCTCCGAAATGCTGAAGAACCACGGCTATTCAATGGTTGTTTTTTCTCATTCTGCTAAACCAGAATGTATTACATGAACATACTCATTGCTTAAGTATATAATTGGGTGGGATTTTACTGATTTGGACCAGTTCTATAGAATTGGTTATTATGATTCTGTGCAGTTCAGAGAACTGACAATCGTGCCCCTGGCTGTCCCTGCCCCTATCCGCCCGCCCCTCCCCTCCCCACCCAGTCAATCCTTATCGTGCATGTGCAACATCACTGACTGCATTCTCTCCCGTCCAGTCACTCCTTAAGGTATTTTTTTCCCTCCCGATGATCAGCTGTTCCGATGATCAGCTGTTCCAATGATCAACTGTGCTGGGATCCCCCTCGCTGTCTTACTGCTTCTCCCCTGCGCTCCATTTTTTTGCCTTCCTGGACCCCAGGGAAGCCTTCTAGGAGCAAAAACGCACCCACAGAAGGCTCTCCTGAGGCCCAGGAGGCAAAAAAAGGGTGCTGCAAAAAAAGCCACACCCACCCAGTCACATGGCCATGCTCACCTGGCCATGCCCACAGAAGCGGTTGTTAAAAATTTTGAATCCCACCCCTGCATATAATTATTAGTAGCATGTGTGAACTTCCTGCAATCCATGCTGCAGTCTAATTGCTTCACTCCTCTTGTTCCTATTTGAATTGATGTACAGTAAGTGATAAAGCCTGAAGCAGATTGGTCAAAAAAACTTTTAATCTCCTATGTACTTATCTGGGAGCCAATTGCACTGATTCATCCATCTTTCCTTTTTAAGAAATCAAATATAAAATTGGATTCTGTCTTTTAGTAGGGGAAATAATACAGGCATCAAAGGGTTTTTTAAGAATGCACCAAAATACTAGCTTTTTTCAAATTAAATAATTACAAAGATAAATGAAACAAACAGTAGCCTTCCTTCAAACACCAGAGTGCATACAAATATGTAAAAGGCTTAGCAAATCTCCTTCTCAGTTCCATTTTCTGATGCAAATCTACAATTGTTTGCCATAATTTGCAAGAAGCTTAAACCTGTTTTTCCTGTTTCTCAATTCAGAGGAAGGACTGTTTATTCTAAGAAGAGGACAAGATGTAAATAAGATGAAATCATTTCTATGCTGTAATTAGCAGCTAGGAAGAATTGGACATAGTAATGCAGTTCTTGATACAATTATACATTATTTGTATGTCTATATGGAATCTATTCATGGATTAAATAAAAATCATCAGAAACTCAGACCACTACATCCACAAGGACCATTGGCAGGTATTATAATTCATCTGAACACACAATAGAGATTGTGCTACATTCTCCCTGAAAAAATAAGATTACACAGGATGTGTAGGTTGTTCTTAGGCATAAAGTGCCAGTTGCTACTGT